CTTCTCTAGATGTTCACTTTCCTGTTCAGATTGACATGATGTCTCTTTGACATGATATGAGTTTATCTCCCAGTCTAATGCACCTCACGTCAGAGCCAGCCCTGAAAGTATAATCCCACAAACACCGCCATATGGAGCCACTGAGGTAAAAAATAAAAAAATAAAAAACTTGAAAGTTGAAAATGTTGCAATATTTAGACACCTGTTCACAGTTAATGGCCACCATCTTTTCCAATGAAAGCCACAAGTGCTTTTATCAGGTCTGAGACCAACTGTCCTTTAGCAGACTGCAGAGGTGTGATTTCATTACAGATACCAACACTACCTTCATGGCTGAGAGGTTCTTAAGGGATGAGCAGATAATTCACTTAAAGCGACAGAAACTTGAAACATTTGGATGGGAGTCATCTCACATTTAAAAACACCAGGCGAGTTTTAAAACATGTAAAACGTTTAAAGAAAATGTGGGAGGTGATGAAAGCACAGTTTACAACTTCAATATGAGTAAATACTGATTCTACAAGCAGACCCAATTTATGAACATAAATGAGGAACAAACTAGTAAAGAAGTGCACTCACAAAGGTTTTGGCCTGCTATGTTGTACAAGAAGAATGATTTCATTTTGTATATTCTGGGGGTGTTTGGCTCTGAGCTGTTGTAAAAAACTTTCTCATAATTTTTTAATGAAGATGCTTGTAGCAGATGTTTGACTAGGATGTCTGTGATGGCATTAACATATCCAACAATCTGTTTCACATCTATCAAACCTTTAGTGACAAACCTTCACAACATAACATGGCAGGCTGGGGGATTCACGAAGTGGAGCATGCATCTGGCTTTCCTGTTGTACTCATGAAGTGTTAGCACTTCAGAATATGTCGAGAGCATAGACTGTATATAGTATGGACGCTGTCTGCCTCCTCGCTGGGTGAAGCCACCGCGAGAATAGCACCCTCTGGCTGCAGTATAGGTCAGAAATTAGTGAGCCGAAAGTCAAAGAACACACTGGTAACCTATGAGCCCTGCTTTTGAAGCGCAAGTCTCTATGCGCTACAAGTGAAGTAATTGTTCAATGTTCGGGGAAGTGGTTTGGGGGTTAAGCTTTAAGAAAACAATCTTGTTTACATCAGGGTCAGGGCCCTTAATTCAAAGTGTTTGCACTTACAAAAAGAGAAGTATGCACAAACACACAGAGGAACAACAAGAGAGAGGCTAGAAGGAAGAGATGGATGATAATTGGAGCAACATGATGGTATTTGATCAGTAAATTATGCCTAAAAGCCAAGACAAAATGATTTGTGACTCCATTAATTACTTTTTAATATCTGGTGTTACACAAATTTCAGGGGTTGTTAATTATCAGAAAACAGTCCTGTTTCTTTTTTAATGGTTTTTAGTTAGCATGCAGATGCCTTTACCAGTTGTATGAGCAGAAAGAGGAGCTGGAACTTTCTCCTGTAGGGCGAGTGGAAAAATACACAACAACACATTCATGTAAGCTGATATAGTTTTATAATTACCAATGTTTTTTTGGGCTGTGTCATAAGGCAGAGGAAGAATACATGTTTTAGCTTCAAACTCTATTATTGATTCAGGGATCACATAAAATGATGGTAACAAAATAAGGTTCAAGTATCATTTAAAAAGAAAAAACTGATGGGGCACATGCTCCACAACAGTGCCTGACCTGATAAATAACAACTTGTTTCAACAAAATTCCAGCAAAGACTTGAAGAAAGGGCCATGCACTGTGACTTTAATTACCAAATAAGTGTCCTGGACACAACTCTTCAATGTAGGCACTGTGTGAAAACAAGGGGAGTCTCTCCACAGAGACAAAAAAACAACATTGGACATTTACTTGAAAAGCATTCTGCCACTGTCATCGTACTTTATTTGCTGTGCCTGTGGCATAAATACAGCTGATACTGAGCCAAGTCAGCCCTGGCCAAGATCCATCAGAGCTCATAATAAAAAACGAGACTTCTCCTCTCTCAATTTACTCTCTGTGTGTGAGACAGACAAAAGAGGTGCTGCTCATATTAGCAGTCTGTGTCTTTGATTCTGTTAACATGCATGTTGAGATGAAAATCCGGCTGTTTCACAGGTTGCACACAGCTATCACACTTTCCGTATAAACCATGGTACAGTTCATACTAATGCCCAGGCCTCACAGTCATCAAATATCAAGTGTTACCATTTCAAGAGGAGGCATGCCACTGGTAGTAAGCCACAGTATGCACCACTGCATACACCATTAATTCAGCTACATGTTTCAGTCTTTTTCAGTCATTGATGGTTTTACTGTAGTTCATTGTGATTAGGCACAACACAAAAATTTAGTCTGTTGAGCTTTCAGCTGCACTGTCATATTACTGAAAGTTGATCAAAACTGTTCACTCTATATTAACCAGGCTCTCTAGCACAGCATTTTTAAAACTTCTTATAGTCACAGCACCTTTCAAAAGTGCATAAAATCTTAAGAAACTTCAGTGTAGAATATAGTTAAAAATGGCACTGCATAGTCTAAATATAAAATATCCTGTTTATTCAGATTAAATAAAGGAGTGTTCATTTTTCTCATCTGTCTGACAAAGAAACTAAAGTGTGTGTAACTGACTATACAAGCAAATGCAAGGGTCGCCATGACAACACGAAAATGTAATATGTTTTAATAATTCAAATTTGCCTTTCTGTGACATGGTAAATTTAATTTAAATTAATGTTACCACCAATTTTTCAAGTAGCATATGGATGTCATGCTGAGGGGCAGCATCAGAGTACAGGAAGAGACCAATAAAACAGAAAGTGGTCTTTACGTTCCTGGACATTTTCTGTTTGTAATCAGGGAAAACACTGTAATTTAAGTCACTTCAACTAAAATTGCAATATTTTGTTGCTGTATTGTCGGTTTCTTTATTAATAAGTTAATATCTTCATGTTTTACCCTTCAGTATTTACGCTTTCCCACATATATCTTCTAAGACGATAAAAAAAATGTGGGCATCAGTTTGAAGCGTGGATCATTAATGACCATCAGTTACATTGTGTACTTTTATGTTGCCAGAAAAGTCATGGGCAGATCTGAGCTGATGTTGGCTGAGAGTTTACTCAGTTAACAACATTATAGCCATCATAACTAGTCTGAGTTATCAGACAGGATAACCCTAACCCTACACACCATCATTACATGCAGCTCAATGTCTGTGCCAATCACAAATACACAGTCACATTCAAAAGGTCAAAGGTTTTTAGGATGTTATGCATGACCGCACCCCCCTGCACATTTACGAGCAGTAAAATCATACTTTTTGCTATCTGGTTTTAACTCCTTCATGCTTTCCCTCTTCTTGCTTCTGTGTCTCCGTCAGCTGGCAAAAGAGTTGATTGTGTTTTGGCTGCCACTGAATGAACGAGCTGACTCCACTCAACTCTGAGTACTTAATCAATGAGAAACATGCTTCCCCGCTAGGCTAATGATTTACATGAAGGAGCTAAGAAGCATGCAGTGTGTGTGTGTGTGTGTGTGTGTGTGTGTGTGTGTGTGTGTGTGTGTGTGTGTGTGTGTGTGTAAGAAAGGTAAGTATGTTTTAGGTTTATATAAAATAAAAAAGGGGCAATTTTGCATTTTTTTTCAACGACACAACAGCCATTCACAGTAAATAGAAACATTATGAAGAAAAAATAAAAACCTAAGAAGAACAAATAAATAAAACCAATTAGTGGCCAACTAACCGTTGCTATGCTTACCTACATCAGACCATGCTAAATCGACTAAGCCTTTCAGGAGAACCCTGTCCTCTCCATTGTACAGAAGGGGCCTCAAAACATTAGAAAAAAGAAATGGTTTGTCCGTCCCCTATAAGGCAATTGTTTTGAGAGGAATAGGGTCCATCGCACCCCTCCTCCAGTGTACAATGGTGAGTGTATTGCATCTCCTGGCACTGAAAAGGAGGACCTGGGGCAGCCTCAGTGAGGTTTGGTTCTGTGGATTACACACCAAAAATGCACAAATTGATTCTAGGAACAGTTTGTTCTTGAAAATATTCTTTGATGATATCTGGTTCCCCTCAAACTCCCATTTTCAGAGGGCTGTTGTAACACTTTGGGTTTTAACCTGGCCTGCTTATTTTTCCAAAGAAAAGAGGACAGAGAGCTGCTATGAACAGAGAGCGATTTGCCTGTTAAAAGGTTTGAAATCATTTGAAATAGACACAATAAGCGTGGGAGTATATTCATCTTAAAGAGATTAACTCTTCCCAAAAGAGATAAAGGCAGGGCTGCCCACCCAGCCAGATCTTCATTAATCCTACAAACCAGGGGTACAAAGTTTGCTTTATACAGTCCAGCAATTGATGATGTGAGGTGTATTCCTAAATAAACAAATCTGGTTGGAGACGAACAAAAAGGAGCAGAGCAAGAGGGGGACCAAGACAGGCGAGGAGTGAAGGACATCACCTCAGATTTAGAGAAGTTAATCTTAAAGCCTAAAAATCGACTGAAGGAGCTATGGCAACAGCAGAGACACTGGGAGTCTGTGGTGACGACAGCTCCACCTCCCAGCTGAATGAGCTAAGCGACTTCTTCGCTTGCTTTGAGGCACGACAACATCCCCACACACAAGACTTCATCCCCCTCATCTCATCAGCAACAGAGATGTGACAGAATACAGGAGCGAGGTGAGCCACGTGGCCGTGTGGTGCACAGATAACAGTCTCTCCCTGAATATGGACAAAACAAAGGGAGTTGTTTTGGACTTCAGGAGAGCGCACATCCTGCATGCTCCTCTGAACAGTGCTGCTACGGAGAGGGTAAGCAGCACTAAGTTCCTGAGAGTGCGTTTACATGCACAGCTTAATCTGACTAAGCTCGTAATTTTTTATTTATTTATTTTTTTCTTTCGCAGTCGGACTTCTCTGCTTGTCCTTGTGTACATGCAGCTGAGAAAATCCAATTATTGACGTGAACGTATCCTCCACCCCAACACCAGGGGGCGATATGGGTCTTTTCAGCTGTGCTGTTTTCAGTTGACCCAATAACAACAGCAAGTGGCTAAAACTGCTGCTGGGCATTTTTGAGCAAGAAGTTGGAGCATCGTATAGCGTTGTACTTTCTGTCAAGCAAATTCAGTAATCTGTACGATTAAGTAATGAGGTAAGTAATTCTAGTGGACGACCTGTGCATGTTTAAACATAATGAATAACACTTTTCTTTGGGATGGAGAGTCCTCCATACATCAATGAAATGTATATGTCTGCAATCATTAATGAATGACGAAAATGCATTCTGAGTCATGGAGGAGGTGGAGAAACCTTGTGGCTTAGAAGCTTTGGACTCAAAGGTGCCTGTACTCCAAGACCTTGTCCACACATAGCCAGGTATCTGCTAATGATGTCTAATAGCTAATGATGACAGCTTGGTAAAGCTGTACTACACAGATGCTCTGATAAAAAAACTCTACTTTGGCTGTTCTCGAGTTAGAAGCCAATCATTACTTACTGTTGACCAAATAATATCTGCAAACATACATTTGTCCATATTCATTTACTGTTGTATCATCGCTACAGCCTTCTTATTATCACAGAGGACTGAGACAAGTGGGGGAGGGAGGACAGGCATTATCTCTGCTGCTACAGTACAAGGATTATCCCTGACACACGGATTTCCTTCTAGGCACCATTAGCTTGGCCTCATCCCATTTGGTGTTTCCAACACCTGTGACCACCATCCATCTAGGCACAAGAATTATTACCACTGTATTTTTTTCCAGGGTGTATAAATTAATCATGGAGATCACAAGCAAACTACTTTAAATTTCTGGGCTGTGACCAAGAAACACATCCTCCCAAGGATACTGAGGACCTATGCATCATTAAAACAGGGTTGTGTTATCAGACAGAGGAACAGTGCCAGCCTCTCCACTTACTGTACAGGACTGTGCCCTCTGCATTTTCACTCTGTGCATAATAGCTTCTGTCAATGGCTAAATGGAGGCAGGTCCTTTAGTCTGACTTTGAACGTACAATGAAACATTGGATAAAATAATGGTGAAGTAGTGGACAGCTGACTACAGGGAACACAAATTAGCACCGATTACCAAGTAGGGCATGTACGCTAATGCCTTTGGGGCTGCAGAGGTGTGTCAGAGTACCAAGGCATGGAATGGTAATGATTTCCTTATCCACACAATCCACAAACTCCCCCCTTGAGTGTCTTAAAGGGTCCCGGAATCCACCTTCCTGACAGAAATCTTTGGGTGCAGGTGAAGATATTACAGAAGTTATACATGTGGCAGTTCCTCCTCATGTTGTGGTCTGAAGAGATTATTTTTGTTTTACAAGTTTCCAGATCATCTGAATTCATGCCCAGGTACAGACACGGTAAAAACATGTTTTTCAAAATCAGTTTGAACCACCTCATCCAACTTTGAGACATGTCCAGATTTTAAGGTGGGGCATTTTGCATTTTTGTCCAAAAATGATCAAGACACAAGGTGCTGTATAGTGCTGTATACTCACTCGGCACCCTGATATAGATGAGATGCTAGACTCCAAACATTTGCATTCTTAACTGAGGAGGAAGAGAGGAAAGGGCTCTTCATTCAGGCTTCGATTTTCAGATGGATAAAGTCGCACTATTGGTTTTCTCCATACCAGCAAATACATTAGTCAGCATGTCAGATAAAGAAAGATATCAGGCAGAACTCCTTTCTATTGATCCAACCCTCTATATTTGATTGAGACTCATGACAGGACTGTGGGCAGGATGACAAACAAAAAGGCAGAAGGTTAAAAAAGTTGAAACCAAATCAATAATGATGACTGACAAGATGAAGCCTGGGTAATCAGAGTCATCCCCCCTCCAATAAATGATGGAGAGCTGCATAAATGTACTTCACTCCCTATCATCTATTGCTGCCATCGTCCTTTTCCCCTCATGACTGATGATTTTTTTCATGTTTTGTTGCATCAACTCTTCAGCAAACATTTGAAACAAGAACTGAGACAGAGAGGGACTTCAAGAACATTTTGTACCTAACTCTGATTTACAGTTCTTAATATACTGACACAAAATGTTGATTTTAAAATGTTATATGTACTGATAAAAATAGAGCCTCTGATTCCGGTTGGTAGCGCCACAATGACGATGAATCTAAATCATCAGATTTTTAACTCACCTTTCACTGTGAATGAGGTAATGTCACAACTCCTAAACACTGTTTTTATTATCACTGCTCATGCTTTTTCTTTATAGGAACCAATAAGTGTGAGGTGTTCTCACCTGCTCTGCTGCTCTTGCCTAGATTACAGAAGAGGATCTGATAGTAAAATGCCCATGTTGTTTGACAAACCAGCATAGCATGCCTGAATGACCTGCCGGACTCTGGCATTGCTCTTGTAATACTAAATTGATAACTGTCGTCAAGGGTTTTGGACTAATCAGAATCAAGTATGCAGCTGGGTGTATAGCGAGATAGCTGGGTAACAAGCTTCAGTCACTTGAAATGCCCCAAGATACTGCAGACACTCTCCGGCTTTACCATCAGGACCAGGACCACCTGATTATGACTGCTTGGGAAGGCAAAGGGGGGAAGGACCAATACAACGTATAAAGCCATAACACTCACACCAACTTGAGTGTTTAGGTCAGGTACCTTAAATTTGGATGACATGCTCTCCTGTGGCTCAATGCAGTCTTAATCACATAAGCTCTCTGTAATTTATCCCCAAAGACTGGAATAAAACAGCATTCACTTCAAGACATTCTTGGGGAAGACTGGTCAAACTAAGAAGTTCAGAACTAACGTCATTGGTCCCTAAAGACGTGTTTGACGTGTGCAATGTGTTTGACACTGTGTCTTACCATTTCTGCTACCTTTTGTTTATTATGGTTCTAAAAGCCTTTGAATTGCTCTCTAACTGGGAAATATTACGTTTTTTGAATTGGATTAAACCAAATTAAATTCTATACCCTTGTTTGGATTATTCATTGGTTAAATCATTTAGTAAACATATTTCATTAAAAAGTGCCCAGAAAACAGCATAAGCTCTAGCAGGGTCCTCTGTTCATGGGTTGCTGCAGCTGAGAGGACTTTTTCTGTGTAAACTTTTCTCCGCCCCTGGTGTAAGCATTTAGCCGACCTTTTGTCACAGGATGTTGGCTCTGCTTATTTGGGTGAATAAATTACTAAAGGTCCATCTATTTTTCTCAGTGTTTTTTTTTTTTTTTCTTTCTTTTTTCCCCTGAAGACTTCATGTGGAGACTGCTTCTCCATGGTGCTCATTTGACTTCCTTTTCTTCTGGAGCCAAACAGTGGACCACTAGCGGAACAAATCAATGCTGGGCCGGGGGCGGGGCAAACGACAGGGCACTTTACACCCAGTAAAGCTCATAAAAACATTGCTTCACAACATACACATGCCCACACTTGTAAGTAGGGCTTACAAGCAAAACTACATTTTTTTACACTTGGTTTTGTCATTTTGAAGTCAATCAAATACATATGAAGTCTTAACAAACCTTTTTTTAAATCTAGAGGGGAGCGAGCGTTTGCGGTCGCAGCTCCCACTTTGTGGAATGCACTACCCCTCAGTGTGCGTACTGCAAATAGTCCCTCTACCTTTAAAACCCAACTGAAGACGCACTTGTTCATGTTAGCTTTTGAGTATGATATTTGTATTGGTTCTATATTCGTTTTTGTTTACATTTATATGTTACATATCTTTTGTTGTTGCTGTTTGCTGTTGTATGACTTGCTTTAATTGCTACTGCTTCGTTATTGTAAAGATCTTTGGTAGGCCACTGGCTGTTTTAAATGTGCTATACAAATAAACTGACATTGACATTGACAAACCAAGAGGACAACTAAAACATTAAGCTACCCCGCCCTTCACAATTAAACAACAAAATTTAAAGTAGTCCAGCACCATGGATACCAACCACATAATTTTGACACCTATTTTAACCATTTTTAATTAATAAGGGCACAGTAGCCTACTGACACATGTTCTCATACAAATAAATAATCAATATGAAGTACTAGGCCTACTCATTTCTCTTTTATAGGCCTTGCGATCTGCAAACTCAAGATGAACTGTATGTCCATTTTCTTTGCTCTATCATTCTCTATGGACAACATGGCAAGTCCGCTCAGTCTCTCCTGTCCTACTGTGCCCCTCAGGTGGTTTTTTAGTTAGTTTTTACTTGGAGAATGAGCGCTCAGAGGTTGCAACCACTGGTGGAACAAATCAATGTTCCACCAGGGAGTGCCACCATAGACTTTTTTTAAATATTCTGTGTAATATATTTCTAAAGTTTGTCCACAGCTCTGTAGTGATTGCTAAAGGCCTGTCACCAGAGGGTGCTGTTCTCACTGTGGTTTCACTCAGTGAGGAGACAGACGGTGTCCATTCTTTATACAGTCCATGAGTGCCACCCATCCAGCCCCTACAGAAGCTCCAAACCTGTAGAGGAGCATTTACCCAAGCGGCACAAAGGCATTCTTGTTAGAGACCTCCACTTTCTAGCCAGTGGATGTGACGCAAAATAATCCTTGACCTCTGAAAAAAAAGGTTGCCAAGGGAACTGTTATTCCTCCTATCACTTAGATCGTGCCTGAGTTGTGAGCTGCCATGTAAAGTCACCTGTCATGACAGACCTGACGGCACATCTCTCGGGATTCCTCTATATGCTAGAGATCAATTTAAATGGGAGGGTATTTTCTTGGGGCCTTATAATATGAACTGTGTCTTATTTGGGGAAAAACCTGTCACAGCTCAAACTGTATTCCAGCTGTTTGGATACAAAACACCTGAACCAGGACATGACCTGACAGTCAAGCTCAGGGGGAGATGTTTTACAGTAGTGGATGTGGACATGCTTCTGTCAATCATTGGATTCTTGCCCAGTGCATGTTAACTGGGACAAGGACAGCGGTCCAGTTATATCACCCGATGGAGCTTTGACCATAGTTGGACTTAACTGTGCATGTAAACATACCAAATGTTACTGGGCTCAGTTTTTGCAGTCTGCCACTGCAAAGACAGGACAAAATATTATTCACAATAAAGAAAAAAAAAGGGAGTAATGAACATAGTATATAATTTCTTTGACTTATATTTGTGAGCCTTATTATAAAAAAGAAATTCAGTCTGATCAGTATGGTTCTCCTGTGTGCCAGTGTTCAGTCCAGTTAGTGTATATAGGGAAAGCTCGTTCTCAAGCATGCACACAAATCTCTGAATCATTCCCAGGTGAAACAGCATAGCTATTAAAGGTCCATTAATTTGTTTTATTCAAAGGGCATCGTAGTCAGGGTAAAAATTAAGCACCTCCCTTAGGGGCTGAGGAAACAAGGCCCCTACCTGAGGCAAAGACTCCCACTCTCATTAAGATGATGATGATCATTATGATGCCAGAACAAGCACTTTCCTGGTCAAGGTTAGGAGTATAAAGGCAGCTTCCTATCCTTTCAATTTTACAAAAAAAAAAAAAAGGTAATAAAAAGTATGAAAACACTGAGGGGAACTTTGCAAATGATTCACAGAGCCCACTAAAAAGGAGGGTGGACACCAGTTATAGCCATCTCTTGAAGAAATGTTGGATTTCACAGGTGTAATTGATATTGCGCTGGTTTATAACTCATGTGAATGAACTGTTAAGAAGAAACAAACCAAAACAAGAAGCTCAAACTGAGCAAACACACGTGCCCAAACAGCATGTCTTTGAAAAACAGACCAGCAGGCTTTCTGGTAATTGGATTATAACCAGGGACAGATAATATTCTGATATTACGACTCCCATGTAAAAAGCTTAACTGAGTGATGCTACTAGCATTGGCATTATGATAAAAACTAAGCCTGACTCAAGTGGCCAGCCAGGACATCATCCTCTTAAATTAACCTTGGCATTTAATATCATGAGTTATTGCATCGAAAACTGTCTTAACAAAGAGTGGCGTAGAGTAAAAACATCATCCAACAATAATTTATCATAGGCATGTGTGTTAAAATGATCTGTGGTTGATTGCTAATCCCTTTGCAAATAGTAATCCCATTTATTGTAATCTGAGTAAATCACAGCAGGCCTCTTCAGCTTTTGTATTCCTCCATATGCTTTCTTTGTCTTCATGGAAAAACAGTACAGACAATTTAAAGGCTGGTAAAAATCAGTGTTTATCTATTTGAGCAGAAGCCTAATACAAGCAAAATAACAAGCCCACTTATCACAGCACCAGCTTAAAGCTCCTGTGAGGACTTCACACTGATGCTCTTTTAATGAAATACAAAAGCAAACAAGACCAGCAGTGATAGAATTAATGATTTTAATTTTTGCTTTTAATGCCTGGAAGCAGTGTCAGGGGGGGTAGGTGTCAACCAGACTGTGGAAGAAGCAGATTTTTTACTTTCTACATTTTCTACATAAAATATCCACATGAATGATAAAGTTGTAGGTCAAAAGTATAGACTGTATATAATATGGACAACTTGGTTCCGTCCATTCTTTATACAGTCTAAAATCAAAAGCCAGAAAGATCAGATTTTTTTTGTAGAAAGCATGTTGATAACAAGATACGCATAGACTGTTTTGTCCAAGAACTACGGCCAAGACAGCATATGTGTATTATCAACTACAGGAAAGACACTGACGTTGTTTTTAATGTATCAAGACTTAACCTTCACAAGTTAGCTGTAGTTTCTAACACCTACAAGGTATTTGAAGCTATTGCTTTTCAGTTGGTGATATCTCTGTGAGAGCAACAAGATCACCAGAGGAGAAAACAAAGGTGTGTAATAGTTGTTTTGGACATCTTTTGCAAATTCTGTAAATATACCTTTACAGTCCATTATGTATCATAAATCAGAGATAAAAATATCACTGGCACTGTCGAAAAGAATCGATCTGACATTAATCAACAATCAGTATTTGTGCACTACACTGCACACACATGCTTTACCCTAACCTGCAAGTGTACTTAGCTGTGCTATAAGGTTACCCTGAGTTAATTGCTCTCTGGCTGATGAACATTATTGCCTCATGACGTGCAATACAGGGTTTATTAAATGTTAACTCACTCAAGGAGTCATGTTGGCACCTAATCATGGGGGTGTAGAGTTTGCAGTTCCCTTAAAGGCTGAGCATTTTCAGCATTAATTCAATGTTATTTACTCAGCACCTCTGTACGGCGTTTCTTTTTTTTTTTTTTTTTTCCTTTTTCAACAGAAGAACATCTTCACCTGGGAGCATAACGGTTGCACTTTCACTGAGCACCACTGATAAGCAGCTGTTTATTAAATGCAAAGCTAAAGAAGCCCACTTCTCTTTTTTTTTTTCAAACGTCTGTATTTCGTGGCCTCAGACTGTTCATCAGTTAAAGAGGTGAGGTGAACAACAATGAGAGTGGAACAATTTCCCTGCTGAGCAGTAAATGATACCAGGCTGTGGTAATGTATTGACTACATTTGCATTTCAGTGTAGCTATTTGTCTTGAGTAGGGGGGGTAATTAAATCTTTAACCATGTGTGAACCGCTGCTAAACAGCAAAAGTTAAAAAGAAAAAAGAAAAAATCAGAAGTTGGATGGGGATGCAAATGACGATAATGATGATGATACTTTTTTAATTTTGTCAGTTATCCATAGCTAGAAGGTGGATGAGAGAGAAATAATCATGGAGTCAGATTCTTACTTCAACCTTGTAGAGGTGAAACTCTTAATAATCCCGATGTTTTTTCACTCATGGAGGAGAGTAACGATGCATCATGATCAGTGCACAAGTCTTTGCAGATTATTACTGCTCATGCACACTCTGCTGAAGACTATGAATGTGATATTTTGTGGTTGGCGCTCTTACAGGGGTGCTTTGGTATTTTTCAACCTGGGCCCTATTTGCCCACATGTTGGTGTGTTTGGTACAGAAGCGTATTGCATTCACTTCCACTTTGTTTCTCTGACTATTTCTTTTTCTTCTGTTTTTGTGTACTAATATTTTTCCCCTCTTTCTGTTTTTTCTGACTATTTTTTTTCTCCTGTTTTTTATTTGTACTAATATTTTTTCCCCTCTTTCGGTTTTTCGGACTGTTTTTTTTTTCCTGACTAAGTGAGATACTTCAAAATCCTGCGAGAATCTCATACAACCAGATATCGGCAACCACTGCTGCTGCTCCAAATCAGAGGATTCTTCAGCTCCTAGATAACTTCGGGGTCACTACGGGGTCAATGAGAGTAAGGCATGTTATTCGTTAAACATAGGGTATGCAAATCCTGAGGTGCCTGCACAAAGTAGACAAACTTATGACGAGTCCACCTTTATGACTTCAAAAAAAGAATATCTCCCAGTGTCTCAAACTCAATAGAAAGTAAAACTTGATTAAACTGAACAAATTGGCCATGTTTGCTTCCAAAAATCGAGCAGAGGGGGATGAAAGCGTCTAATGAAAGTGTTCAATGATCAAGATCCCGGAGAATAGGAAAAACAATTAGTCTGAAAAACAAAACAAACCGAAAAAAAAAAAATGTTTGAAACACAGAAAAATGTGTCCAAAAATGTATTCTGAAAAAAAAAGAAAAAAAAAATCTGAAAAACAGAAAATAAAATAAATAAATAAATAAATTACTCTGAAAAAAAGAGCTTTTTTTTGGTTGTTGGTTTTTTGTGTTGTTTTTGTAATTAGTTTTACGGTGAATGCAAGACACTTCTGTAGTTTTAGACTGACCAGGAAAAAAATAGATAAAATTTGTCCAGTAATGAGGCAGCCACTAAACAGTTTGACAGAGTAATTGCACATCTTCACTGCAAATGTCAAGATCATGCTTATTAGTTTCGCAGAGTTCAGATTTGGTAATCTACCCCAACATTTATAAGAACTGCTCATATACTGGTCATTTGTTTTGTCCATCATTGGAATCATGACGATAATCTAAATTGATTATTTTGGCTGTAGCTGGACAGAATATGCTCCAGTCTGGATGTGAGTGATGAGTTCAGGCAGACACAAGATGACAAACCAGATAATGTTGAAACAGATTTGTCTGTGATAGTATAAATAAGGGAAGCCATCCAAGGATAATGGTCATGGTAGACATTTTTACCTCAGTTGTAATTTCATTTGAACATTTGTACAGACCTTCTCAACAGACATGACAATTTGATGTTACTGAACCACCTCATGCAAGTAGGAAATTCACAAAGGTATTGATCAAAACAACAAAAAAGCTATTGATTTTGTTCTTTTTCTATAAAGATTTTCTGTTGTCTGTCTGGCTGTTAGTAAAAGCTTTCAGAGAGGGATAAGTGTTATTGAAAATGCACTCAAAAAGATGAACTAAATGCATAAACCAACACCAAACAATACTGTTATTGCACAATAATAAGGCCACAAAGCAATGGACCACCAGCCTTACTATATGTGAAGTGCTAAAAATGAAGGTTAAAAATGTTATCTTGAATTGAAATTTGGAGCGTATAGTCTTGTGGATTTATCGAGTGTTTGCAACAGACAGTCCTCGACTAAAAAAAAAAATCTAAAATGTATCACAGACAAGTGTTAGAGAGTGTTATCACAGTCAAGTATAAAAGCATGCTACGAATACAGGAAATTACACCAAATACAGAAAAACAGCAAACGACTCAGAAAATGACACAATTATTTTCTCAGCTGCAGCAGGAGTGAAGGAGAGTTCAGAGAGTCCCTTTGAGCTGAATTTCAAACACATTTTCGTATTTTTGAAAACCATATAAAAAAACATGCGTTACTCCTATTCGTCATATGAACAACATCTTCATATCAAATTGTGCATGCTTAGAAACGCGATCCAAAGAGTAGCTCACTCAGATGTCTGTCGCCGTCCTCTTTGCACTTTCAGATGCATGAAACGTTTCCTGAATGTTGTCTTTTCATTAAAACCTCTAAGACCAGTAGACTACATGAAGTAACGAGGAGTAGATGTCTTGATTTAGGGGATTATTAATCAGACGAGTTTAGACCTAACCACAGCTGATATTTGCTTGATTCCTCCTGAGGCTCGGTATTTCTCAAACTTTAAGATTGATATGTCTTCCCACTGTTTATACTCTCACAAAGCACAGCAGCATTAAATTAAAGGTGAATATAATCTCTAAAGGCCTGAATTTTGAGGATCACTTTGGTGCACCAGGTACCCACTCTCTGGCATGTGATCTCTGCATTGTCAACAGACACAGATGTACTCTGCAGAATGAAATGCCTTCTCCCTGGATGTCACCTTCAGGTAAAGTTATTACAGCTGTCGAATCCTAAGTATTTTTCTTTTTACTTTTTTTTTCTGTTTCTCATCAGTTCAGCAAAACTCCAGCAGGAAGTCGAGGACACAATGTTGGTGAGAGAGGGGCAAGTTGTGGTTCTGCTCTGCGGTCCTCCACCCCATTACAGAGGTACAGTCCTAACTCTTTTCTGCATTGTTCTCTTGAATCTCACTCTTGCCTGCCTCAGCAATCTTTATTGTTCCTCTCTCTGCTGCTTATTATCTCCCTGTAACACCCCTGTCTCCATTGTTTTTATACCCTCCCACCTCCTCTTTGTGCTGCTCTCCCTTTCAAACTCTGACACTGTTTTCCACTCACTTCTCCTTATCTGTCAGACAAGGAACTTTTTATGTCCAGCCACCGCTCTACCTGCCTAGCCCATGCCTTCACATCTATAGTTCATAGCCTCACACTTTTTACCCTTGAGCTCACATTTCTCGCCCATATGATCTGTGACCACGCTGTCATCTATAAAGTCTCCAGGGCTCCACTTCCTCAGCCGTCGTTCTTTTCTCTCTCTCTCTCTCTTTCTCTCTCTCTCTCTCTCTCTTTTTCTCTCTCTCTCTCCTGCTATGGACAGGTTATCTTTGGGTAATAAAGGCTGCTTGCGGCTGCTGTGGCCGCAGGAGCATTTATCCGGTGGAACGGCAGCAGGTCGGCTCATGTGTCTGTGTGCAGCTGATTAGCAGACCCTCAAAGTGGTCTGCACTCCTGCAGCCATGCGATGCCCACCAGCACAATTTCACGCCAGCATACCAGCCTTTCTGCACTCCTCTGTTGTGGGCTGAAACCTGCAGCCATGTGGGGTTTCCACACTTTAACAATTTACCCTCCAGTGCCAACACCCCCACCCCCTACCCCCCTCCTAAGCCCTTTAAAAAGCCTCCACCTCTTCATTTTTTGATGGGATTTACTCCCCCCCAAAAAAAAGGAAAATTGTATTTCTCTTTAACACAAAGTTGAAATTTCTCAAAGCTTTTTAATGCTTTCTTTTGCTCCACTTGAGTAATGTACCTTGATCAAAGAGGAGTCATCTTGAGCTTCTTTGAGCAATCAATAGATAAGTGGTCTATGCTGAGAGTCAGACTCTGTCAGAGGACACGAGATTATGTGCCTGTAAGTCCTCTGTTGCTCTGAGACTGAAGCTCTTAACCAGACTCAGTCTCTGATAGTCCCTAATCATGAAAGGTCTGTCGGTCTCTGACTTGACTTCCTTTTTAATGATTTTAATTCACTGTTCTCCCTCAAGGAAACTTGTTGGATTTTTTCAGTCAGGACGGCTGTCTGCACAATGTCGTGTCTGGAGGAGAAGGCTGCTCTAAGTTCACTTTGTAATCCCTGCGGACCATCTTTCCTTTCTCTGTTTTACATGAGGACATTGACACTCTTATCAGACCTATGTATTATTTATTTGATATGGACCCTGTGTGATAAGAGTAAGAGAAAAAGTTGGAGATTTCCTTTTAAACGTGCAATACAGAAAACCATTATTATTTGATCAAACCAGGAAATAATAAGCACGTCTCTGACCTTTCATCTGCACTGTCACAATTTCAGCGGCTCAATAATAACAATAAACACAATGTCTGAATTATTCTGTGCTTTTGTTAGAGTTAACAAAAAGACCAAAATCCAAACTGTCAAACAGCCTGTGTTAAGAAAAGCCCGGCGTTGTTGTTTGGTGAGGAAATGTTATTTGAAGAACTAATAAGACAAAGAAACATGATCCAGAACAGCAGGCTTCAGTAAAAGCTGTGATATTGCTTTAGCTTGTGTGTCAATGCAGTAGTGAGGTTATATCAGATATCAGTAAATTCCAGTTTAGATCCCAGTTATCAAAAAACTCTGTCAAATGTTTAACTGTATTCTACACAGAGTGGAAGAAAGTAGACAAAAGACTTTGAGATGAAACTAATTACTCATGAGAATGAAGTTGTGATAAAATAATTACTCTCAAGAATAAAGTCATAATAGAACCGTTACTTACAAGAATAAAGTCAGAAAGTAAATGAAGTCATAAAGCTACTTTACTGGAGGAGGAAATGGCTGGAACTGGTCAACTGCAGAGTTGTTAGTGGGTGCATCAGCAGGACATTCAGAGAGCTTTTGTGGTTCCTCAAGAAACAATCCAACTGATAATCATTTCTGTGATTCAGAGGGAGTCAAGCTCCAACCCACGTCTGTCCCTGATGCCAGCAGCAACCTACACCTTCAGAGGCACCACCACCTTATGGCATATAGATTCACACGATAAACCAAAGCCCAATGCTAACGCTATAAACGGCTGCATTGACAGATTTTGCCTCCACAAAGCCATTTCCAGCTCCCCCCATAAGTAACGATTTTATTATTAGAACTTTATTCTTGTAATGACTTTATTTTGACTTTATTCAAGTAATTACTTTATTCCAAAATTTTTTTTGTGAGTAATTACTTTATCATAACCCAATTCTCATCAGTAATTGCTTTATCACGACTTAATTCTCATGAGTAGTTACTTTATCAAGACTTAATTCCAGTGAGAAATTACTTTATGACTTAATTCTCGTAATTATTTTTATCAAGACTTCATTCTCATGAGTAATTACTACATCATGACTTAATTCTCGTGATTAATTACTTTCTCACGATATTATTTTTGTGAGTAATTACTTTGAACCCTTAGTCTTTTTCCTTATGTGGTCCTTATACTCTGTTGTAATATTGTGTATTTTTTTAATCTTTTGTTTCACATGTAACAAAAGTAGTTGTCTCATACTATGATTAAACTAATATAAAAACACTTCAAATGTTAGTAAAAGCTGAGTTGTTTTGTCTTGTTGTTCCTTCTCCCAGGGTAGGGGACATTTGTGTACAGCTTAAGCTGAGTCCATGTGTGTGTGTGTAGAGAGAGGAATATGAAGACCAGTACACCAGCGTTCAGCTTGCCAAACCCTGTGTCAGTGTGAAGAGACTGTTAGCATTCTCAGCTCACCTCTGCTGCCCCGTGGTTATCCTGTGCACTGAACTGATTACTTGTCTAGAGCATGACTCTGTTTTTGCTTTTGTAAGAGCAAAGTTTCTGGCCCATTCAGAAGCTTCTGAACTCTACAGGGTTATGTTATACACCTGCTCTCTGCATGAAGATACATATTTACATATTTCCACTCAACTGACCTACTCCTCTGACAGAGATACATGAAGGCACATAAAGCAAGGAGCTAGCCATATGCATTTAACATGTCCCGAACCCCACCTGAACTAATTATACAGTCGAGCGTAGGATTGAGATGATGCAGGTGAGAAATTCAAATTCATCCACCCACCAAGCCAAAGGCTGTTGTAGGCCAGATGCCATCATCATGGTTGTTTGCCCTGTGCCAAAGTCAAAAAGGCAAATCCCTTTAATCCAGCATGAATAACAGGGCAGACAATGTCCATGTCTAATGTTTTCCTGATGTGATTTCCTACAATTCTTCAGTTGTGATGGATGACTATCAGCCAGGTTTTGGGGTTTCCTTGTCCCCTTTCAGTGATAAATAGTCTAAAGGTCTATCTTGGGTCTGCTGCCATCTTAGTTTCTAACCTACAGGGCAATCAAACAGGAAAGGACTTTTTCTTATGGTCTGTTCCAGAGGTCCCAGCTGATATAAGTGTTTAAATCTGCAGATCCATTTACTTGAAATTAGTATCACAAGAGATGGAGTTCAATGAACTGGTTTCACTGGGTAATCTTGCGGTGATGTTGAACAACTTGGAGGCAGACACATCTAGCTGTAGGTGTTCCTATTCCTGTTCCCCTGACCTTGGTTAATTAGGACATGATCTGCCATTCATTTTACTGCATTAACAACATTTGACAATTTTTTAAATTTCTTCTTGGGGATAAATAAAATCCCTCTTATCTTATATTTATTGTAGAAATTTACTTGTGTGTTTTTCCCTCCATTACCACTTAAGCCACTGTCCTCTTCACCAGTTAGTACCTGGCAGCAGCTTCCAGAGACCCCTGGGCTTGCCAACCTCCAAAGACCTTCTACTTCAGGCTGACTGCCCCCTCACCTTCACAAGTGTCCACCAGCAGGTTCTGAGGTTACTGCCATAACAGGAACGATGATCTCCAGGCCACAACCTCTGGACCTGGACCATGTTCAAGCCTCTACTGTATCCCTGTTTCCCGCTCTAGCCTCTGTCCTGTGGACTCAGAATACAAAGTTCATAGATTATGGACCCACATAGATTACTTTTAAGATGAGGGTAATGTGCAAAGCTGTCCTCTTGCCATTTTTCCCTCTTCTTTTAGGCTCTAGTGATGTGTCGGTCACGAAAGAACTGGTCCAAAGTGAACGATGGGAGTCAGCTACCGTCTGTGAGCTGTTTTTTTGTTTTGTGTTTTCCTCCCCCAGCCACCTCCACCATGTGCTTGTGCTCATTAGACAGATGCACTCAGGATGGCTAAAGCAATTTACTAATATTAGAAAATGTAATTTTTACTTGTGAATACTTCAGTACGAAGGATGTATTGAATTATTTAAGAGGTGTGTGTACACATACGTACATATCATAAGCCAAACAATGCTAAATTTGGCTGAATCAGAAAATATATAGGTGGTAAAATGAAGAGCCGCTTGGAAGTGGAAAGAGCCAGCTCTTCTTGGTGAGCTGAGCCGAATGATCTGGCTCACTAAAAAGAGCCGTAATTCCCATCACTAGCTCTGACACAAATCACTATGTGCGGCCGTATTTCCATACATGGACTCCATAACTCACTGATCCTGCCCGGACATGTGGCAGATAGATTTGTTATCACATTTTTCCTTGGGTTATCAAGAGGAAAGCCAAAAAATTACCCACGCATTACTGAAGCTTCATATTTGGAAAAAAAATTCACAGCAATAAGCTCAGCGAGTTGAGAGCTGATAGTTTTTTATGTATCCTTGTTTTGCAGCTCATGCCCCTCAGGTCATGTTCTCAGTGCGCCGCCATCACTCAGTGTTTGATATTTTTGTCAATAAATCAGCACAAAGCACCCTATGTCAGACCTGCTCCCTGGGTCTCATCTCAGCTTGAGTGAATACATATTTATTTTTGGGAGCCAGTGTGAATTTGTTTGATTTTTTTTGACTGGTTGCTTGCAGCATTTGTTTGATTTATTGAATACAAAGGTCACAACAGGAGTTCACACTCTGCTTTATTTATGCACATGTGCATGCTTTCAATCTAGGTTAGACCCATCAGTATTCAACAATGGTATCATTTCCACTGAAGTTTTGAGAACATTGACTTGTGGACAATCCCATTTTCCTGTGACTGTTTCTGGTCAATTTTCGCTCCGGGTTCTTTCAGAACTGTGTAAGTTATCCTGGTTCCAGACTGGGTAAAACAGTTGTGTCCGTTTTGTGAAGTTATCAATAATTATTTCTGAAAATGTAAGAAAAAAAAAACATGCTTGATTGGCAGTGGTAAAACATTTTTCATCACATCACCCTTCCCTCATGAATATCATTTCTGTATCAGCAGCTGTGATTCCAGATCTTAGTGAAATCTCTTCTGTACTCTTGACATACATTTTTAACAAAGTGTGGTTTCCGTCTTCCTTTGCTTCTTTTGAATAATTGGTATTTTGTGTAAGATGTTGACCAAACAGATGATGACCATTTGCAAATTAATTAAATTCAATGTGAAAATAGTGCAAAGACAACTTACGAAATGCTGTAACTGAAAATATAAATTGTTGTAAAATTAAATGCTCATTTCTGATGTCGGTACAGTGGTGTGTTTTCTTTTGAGTTGCATCCCCCCTTCTGTTTACAACACTGTGTCAACATTTGGGAACCAAGGAGACCAGCTTCTGGAGTTTCTAAAGTTAAATATTGTCCCATTCTTGTCTAAAATAATAGAGAAGTAGCTGCTCAGCTGTTCAGGGTCTCCTTTGTTGTTTTTGTTTTATGATGCACCAAATATTTTCACTGGGTGCTTAACTGGCCTGGAGCCATGCTGTTGAACTATGTGCAGAAAGTGGTTTGTTGTTGTCCTGTTGAAATATGAAACAAATCGTATAGATGGCAGCCTATGTTACTCCAAAGCATGTTCATATAGTCCAGCATTAAAGGTCCCATATTATACTCCTTTTCAGCAGGTTCACATAGGTCTCAGAACAGTCAATTTGAAGTTTGTCGTCTAAAAATCCTTTTTTTTTCCTGAATTTCAACCAGCCTGAAAACTCTCTAGTGAGCTCTACCAAGAACACGCTGTTTCTGTGTGCTGCGCTTGACCTGAGGGGGGCTTGGCTTGCGCTAAGTACTGTGTGCTAATGTTTACACAGAGTGCTAGGTGCAGCAGGACGTTTCTGAATGATTACTCACAAATATTATGCGTCTGGATATTTCTCTTATTACTTTGTTCTTGAGTTGGTACACAGTGACTAACATGTAGCTAGGTAACATTAGCTCCTGCTAACGGTTACATCTCCGCGGTCTTCTCGTTACATAGAGCTCTTTTGGTGAGTGCACAGATACTGTAAGTACAGTTATCTCTCGTGACTATGTTCTTGCAGTCTACGGAAACAGACTTCTGTGCTCCTTCATGCAGCCAACAACAGAGCAACTGCCAGGCCTTGCTTGTACCTTTGCCATTTTGAACCAGCGTTTGCGAGGGAGAAAAATTGCGTCAAGGTGGAAATCTTGGGCAGGGTCACCAACCTGGAGGGGAGGAGTTATCGCCATCCATGACGTCATGGAAGGTGATAGTTTCAATCCGCCCATTTGAGCAGACATTTCCTGAAAGGTGGAACAAACTGGAGAGGGAGAGGATAGAGGGATGGGATGTATATTATTGTTAGAAAACCATTCTAAAGTGAATTTTGAATAATATGGGACCTTTTATGATGCCTTACCAGCTGTGTAACCTGTATCACGGGTACTTATGCATCTCCAAGCTGCAGCAGATTCTAGCTTTCGAACTATGTCTTCTAGAGGAAGTGGAGTGGCCCCACTCACCTAGAGCCACCTGGAGACCCAAGGGTCAGGATCATCCATTATTGAGTCACTCACATGCTGTGGCATCTGTCACATGCTGTGGCATCTGTGTATTTACTGATGTGAACCTCTTTTCCTCTCAGGGACTCTTTAAAATCCACGAGACTGCTTTATCTCCCTAATAAGAGCAACTTGAGAACTTTAGAGCAAGATGCCTCTCCACTCCTCACCTCCTGTTATTAGTTTTCAGAATGGTTCAGAGCATGTTGATACTATCTCTCCCTGTTGTAGACCGATAAGCCTGCAGGTAAATATCCCATTCAAACTGCCTCTCTCCAGTACTGATGTCCTCTTGTCTCTCCACCTTACCCTGCCTGAGTGGCCTGTTGTTTTTCCCATTAATATTTGCATTTAAGCTACTGAGCTGTCAACAGTGTGCCAGCCCTACAGAGAATGGGTTCTGCTCCAGCCAAGATAATAGTTATCTTCATAGGTGTTAGATGGACCACTGAAACACAATCTGAAAGCCTTCATTATAATCATTATGAAATAAATTGGAAAGAAATTTCATATTGAGTTTATAACGAATAATGAGCTTTTCAGCCTCTACCTTACACATCTCCAAACTGACGCAGGCAGCTAAAAAAGTGTTATTTGGGACAGGTTTAGGACAGTAGGATATTTTCTTCACTGAGTGTAGTTTGCTGTCTGTTATACAGCTGAGGTCTGAAAGTTCAAGCTTGACACTGTTGATGAAATATATAAGTGCTTGGTGTTTCAGACATGTGTCATCTGTTGGGCCTGTCTACTGTGAGTTATTGTTCATTCAGAGTTTGAACATGCATCCTTTTTTTAATGGCGAAGAGTTTGTCACCAAAATTTGATTAAAGGAAAGCTGCGGTATCATTTTGAATTTGGAGTTTTAAGTAATAATTGTGACACTGACTTTATCTTTTCCTACTGGCTGACAGTATGATTACGGTGTGTTTGATCATTCATTACTAAGTTATTTGATGCTTTCAATTACGCTGGCAGAGAAGAGTCTGTCTGAATATTCACTGCTAATTGGCCTTTTTTAAAATGTCTGAATTTTATTAAGTTACAGGGCTGCACACAGTGGAAAGACTTCTTATAATACTGTAGAGATTCAAGCTCAATCCTTGTGTTTGAGCATGAGAAAATCATAATTAAATAGTACAACATAGCCCCTAATACACAGCTGATTGGTTGTTTTAAAGCTCTGTTTCTGTCTGGCTCCTAAAAGCCAAATACAATATGTTTAAGTCTTGAATGTGGACTGGTCTGGTTAATTCTCTGTGAGTGTAGAAGATGCTGGTGAGATGCCCTTTTAATGTATGCCATCTCTTTGTTGAGCCAAACTGATATAGTGGGAGCTTATTCTGTCTAGTCTATTACATAAGCATTGATTGTGTCTTGGTGGAAATCTCTATGGACTTTAACCCCCTTTCTCTGGTGGCATCTGAAATAAAAACACAACTATTTCTTTGTTAAAGGGGTTTTAAAGTAAGTGGAGATAAATATCTCTCCCCTTCATGTCACATATTGTCTTGTAAGCCTTTGTGTCAGTTATCATGTTGTAAGTGCATTTAAATCATATGTGTTGTGTTAAAGAGGAAACTTGTGCTCTACGGGGATGATTTTTTTCCCCCTCAGCTTAAAGGAGAGCTCACTAAAGGGAGGAATAAATCCATTTCTCCCACGACAAAGAAGCCTGGGTTTAAACGATGACGTGTTTTATAACATCAGACCCGTGGACATCACAAAAAACCACACCTATCAAATCAAAAGTGTTAGTGTCTTTGTCATTAGCTGCATTTACATGGGCATTTATGCTGCATTCGAGTTACCTCAGAAGTCAGTCATAGGAGCTGAAAATGTTGTCACAAACAAGTTGCCAGCATTTCAGTTAACAAGTCGGAAAAAAAAATCAAATTTAGAGGCCTGAAATAAGATGGCCATATCCGCGAAAGTTATTTTAGCGCTTGCCTTATATTCGGACAAGGTAATAGCTTTCGTAGATGTAGCCATCTTGTTTCCGCCTCCGATTTTGCTTTTTTCTGACTTGGCAACTGAAATTCTGGTAACTTGGGTGTGACATCATTTTCAGCTTGGACTTCAGACTTCCGAGGTAACTCGAATGCAGCAAAAGGCCCAATCGGAATAAAAAGGCATAATGTAAACATGTTGGTTCAGAACATTCTGATCCAATTCAGCTCAATTGGAAAGAAATTGTATTACTATCAAGAGGGGTGATTTAAGGTCCTTACACCCTGGGGATGACGCAAATATATGACGTGAAATCACGAAATATTCGGAGACAAATTTTGACGCGCCTGACTATACATATTAAGCACGATGCGATTTTGCGACTTTTCGGGTGGAAGCAAGAAGACTGACAACACCAGACTGATGGTTTTTCAGTTCTGATTAGACACTAGTGTTGAGATGGCTGTCTGTCATGATAGCATGTACTGAGTCAGGGCCAGTACCAGATAAGCACATTAAACTATAATCCATAAACGTAAGGTAACAACCGAGACCTGATGTTGCTGTGACAGCAACAACACAGTTTGATACAGTGAAAATATATATGGTATGTTGTATCTGAACAGGTTAGCTTTCGAGCTAAAGTTACTTAGCACAGATGAAAGTTAAAACAAAGATGTTTAGCAAACTGTTAAAGCACACAAACTATCGTCATATCAGAAATCCGATGCTATGATTCTCCACAAGTTGTCCTTCAGGTCGTTATCTTTGTATGTGTAAGCGATCATAAACTATCAGCCGGTCGGCCATGTTGGATATACCAGTGAATCTGACGTCGCAACGACACACAATCTGATTGGTCAGAAGTGGACACACAGTATGCGAAACTTAAGAGAAATTGACCGGGATGCGAAAAAATAAATGCCGCAATATCGCAGGACGGGAAAACATCACTGATGTAAATGCTTGAATTGACAGGATACGGGTTCGAAAAAAAATTTTGATGTCCGAAATAATTGCACGAAAAAAACGCTCCTGCTATGTAAGGACCTTTATACCTATCGTTATTCCAGAACACGTACATGTAAACACTTATTCTGATCATTACTCTCTAACCTAACTCGATCTTCACCATTTATTTATTGAGGCCAGTACAGGAGGTTTCATTATCAACACTCTGGCATTAAACACAACCGCAGGTGTCCCCTGCTCCTCTGGTAACATAACAAGGGATAAATACAGGGTAATGATGTCACATCCGCACACACAGTGCAACCTTTGCCAGAACAGTAAAATAAGTGAGCAAGAGCGCCATCTAGTGACAACATTTAACAGGGGTGAACATCTTGAATTGGATGATTGTGATTAAAATGTGTTGATGAAAGGTCTATGAATTAGAATTCAAATTCAAAAGTTATCCAGAGGAAGGTTCATGACAACTGTAAAATACTGGGATATTTAAGGATTTCATTTAATAAGCCATGGTGCACTAAAGCATGCTCCAAAAAGGCCATGCAGTATGATTTACAGGGACGTGATGATAAACTATTACATGCTCAGCCAGTCATGGCATTGGTCTGATTCCTTTTAAATCTGGTAGGGCTTCTGTGGAGTGACTGTACATATGTTTCTGTGTAGATAATCTGAAAGTGAGCATTTATAATACCCACTGATCCCCCTCTTTTCAGCAGGTGTTCCTGCTGAGAGCTCAGTGCTGCTCTCGGCATATTTGTAGATTTAGCAGGAATTTCCATGTCACTAATCCAAGTTTCAAACTGTTTGATCAAATGTTGCAGCTTGAGATAAAAGAAAATGAGCCCCTTGTGATTAGTAAGTGCTTTTATTGTCTGAAATATTTTTTTCTTTCTCTTGAAAATGTTATTTAAATGACAAGGCTCGAGAAGGAGAGCATTTTTCTCTATTTACTCTCTATGATTCAAGGCAATTATTATTACCCTGTCTGGATAAGAGTTTAAGTTTAATCTGACAGCTATTTTCTCCATTATTTTGAAATTTTGAAATCATTGTTTTGACTCCTGTAAAGTCTTAATGTCATTGAATTGGCAACAACATTGTTCTCATAAGTTCACTGAAACAAAGGTCTGCAAGTTCAGGAAAAATGGACTGTTCAAAGTATTGATTTGACTAGAAATCCTTATGGAAACTATGTCAATCATATTTTAGTATCATTTATTAATCATGCCTTACTTTTCAGCTGTGGTGGGACCTGAGCACGCTTGTCTAAGGTGATTTGAAGATACAGCTGTCTGTCCTTGTACCTGAATGTGGGCCACAGTACCGACATCATAGGGCTGCACAATTTTGGCCAACAATAAAATACAGATTTTGTTGTGAAAAACTCGATTTTTTATTTCGATTTTTTATCCAGTGACAACTTCATCAAACTTCACTTTAATTTAAAGTTTTTCTATCATCTCTCAAATGAAACCACTGAAAACGACATAGTGCATATGCCAAGCTAGTAAGTAGCACTGTAACGCTGTCAAGGAAATACATCAAAAACAGAAGAAAAGCACAGAGCATGCGTATAAAGGCTGTTTGGGTGGGACATGTGCAGGCACCATAAAAGAGTTACGCTGTGTGTCAGATAATTGTTTCAAGAGAGATGCAGGTAGGCATCCACACGGAGATGAAATGGTAGTCGTTTACGGATTTATGCACTCTCTGATCCATTTTCAAAGAGTACCGTTTACAGTCATCCAAAACGCTGTTTCAGTGTGGATGAAACCCCGATATGAAAAAAAAAACCAAAACATTTTTAAATTTCATGTTCGTAAATCTTAGCTCCCCATACTGGGTCTGGACAGATGATCCAAGCAACAGTGCAAAATTTGAACCCCTGGGTGGATTATGAATTCAGGCGAGGGGCAATCAATGTATTGGCACTGGAGAACCCAGCAAGGCCTCAGAGCAGATCTGAACCAAAGCAGCAGGCTTTATTTCAATTTGTTACTTCTCTTTCCTCTTAACAAGTAAATCAGATGTAATTCAAACGGTTTTCTTCAAGACTCCCTGTGTTGTTCATTTTCACGTCAATACACTGCTTACACACAAGAGAAGAAGGCACAGAAGTACTCCTTCAGACACTTTTTTCTGAGTTTCAGCACTCTGAAAATTGCGCAATGATTAATTAATAGATGCATTAACAGAAAATGAGTCCTATTCTCATATGCCATTGGGCAGAGACATGAAAGCCTCTATTTTGAGCTGGTTAACGGAGTAATTCCTTCCTGCTGCTGGGATCACAAGGGAACAGATCCCCCGTTGTGCCTCACAATTGAGGTGACATAAGGTGCTCAGCTAACAGCAACATAATCAGGAGGTAATGCCATCCAATAAAATCTTAAGTCCCTCACTGTTACATGAAAATGGTATTCAGAAAAACCCTTAAAGGTTACATATTCACCTCACTGAAAACATTATTCTTGACCCAAATGTGCACCTGTGTTTAAAAACACACCAAAACAAGAGATGAACAGATTTCCATCGTGGTACTTTATTTCCGATAGTAAGGTTGTCCTTACCCGCTTATTTTTTACTTCCTTATTGAGTCATGAAATAAAAACTACTGCTCACAGTTAAAAGCATAGCAATCCTCCTCTGTTTCAGCCTATTCAAGAGCAAGACCAGAGTGGAGAGGACTATGGGTATGCTGTGGCTGTCCGCCCACTTGGCAGCAGTGCCTGAATCAAGCCAGTGTTGACATCACCTGAGATATGTTTACAGAGCCGACAGCACTTCATGTGCATCCAAGTTTGAGGTGAAAGTTGGACTCTACAACCATGATGGAGTGAGAGGTGATGCAGCTATGTCATTTAACATTTTCTGCAACAGAAAAGGAGCATGATACCAGGGAAACAAAGCTGACCATGTTGATGATAGAAGGGCTATTTCCCCTCCTACTGATAGACATTAATGATTCATGCCCTCTGAGGAGCCCATCTACAGTACAGGTCTACTGCATCAGTTTCCAAGGCTAAGGTATTCCAGAGACCCATCTCTCCTGGAGCCAGCATGTCGGAGTTTACAGCATATGAGGTCAGAAAGCAAAAGCTAAAAGAAGGATGTTACAAGGAGGTATCAAACAAAGAATAGACACTAATCCTTACATGACTGACAGTACAATGCACTTTAATTCATTTCAGTTTAACAGCTCATGGCAGCTTGACATATGTTGAGAAAAAAATGACTAAATACTGTATGTTGGAGCTGCACACTTTTTATGGGTGTTGGCTGTAATCCCGGTCTCTAAATGACCTCAGCAGGAGTGACTAAGAGCAGGGAGTCTACAGAAATACATAAAAAAGGTGCAAACATAATACGTCTCTATCCTCTGCAACAAGCGCTCTCCCGGGCTTTCTCTGTGGAAACCGAGAGAATAATAACAGTTTCTTTTCACCCCCAGATATTTCACATGGTGGGGTATGTCCAGGTCACCTGACCTCTGATCAGGAGCTTTGGAGTTATGGCAGTGTTAAGTACACACACATTGTAAAAAAAGAAAAAAAAGGAGAAAAGCTAAAACCAATGTTCAGAATATTTATTAAATGTTAGCAGATATTTCTCAAGTATTTACATTTCTATATCGCCCGCTCATAACAACACTCTTAGAAATTCCACCTGTTAAAAAACAGTAAACAACTGACTGTAGGGTTGCTGTAAAATTAATGGTATATTGCTGTTGCTGTTTTTAGTTTGTTACTGATTTTTATAAATGCAGCAAAAAGCTGTTATTCAACAACCTAAACCTACACTCTCAGAAATTCCACCTGTTAAAAAATAGTAAGCAACTGGCTGTAGGGTTGCCAGGGAGTTGCTGTAACATCAATAGTATATTACTGTTGCTGAAGTTAATAGTTTGTCACTGTTTTTATGAATGCATAAAAAAGGCGTTATTTAGAAAACCTTAACAGGGAACTACTGGTGAAAAGATTGGCAGCTGTTTACCGTTTCTTTTTCTTAAGAGGTATATTTGCATATTTTTACCATGAATTGTAGCAAAATACTACATCTTGCTGGTAATCCATTTCCTTCTTATGTATGTCTCAAGACATTTGACAAAAACAGCAGTGGATCTGAATCTCTTGATTGTTAGGCAGGTAAAACTGTCAGAGAAATCTTCCTTTTAACAGACAGAAACCCTGAGAGAACCAGGCTAATGTGGGTCAGCCAGTTTGCTGCAATTGCGTGGAGGGAGATTCAGGCAAAGAGTGATGGAAAGATATCAGTTCCTTACCAACATCTCTGTATTGTAGGTATGTTCAGAATTATAAAACCAATCATAATTATACGGCTTATCCATTGTCCTTCATGAAGATATTTATTTAACTGGAGTTTAAAAACAGATACTGTGGTTTATCTCATTTTGGTTTTAGGTGTCTCTCAAACTTTGTTTTATCATCAAGATTAAATATGGATGGCTGTGCATGCATACTGTACAGGTCAGCTCCTGCAGGCAGACAGTCTCACCTCACCGTCTAATTTGAGTTTAGCAGCAAATCAATGAATGATTATAGACTTTTTCACTTGGTAAGGTTCTAAGTATCGCTCAAGCAGAACTCTGTATTTTATGGTTATTTAGTTTAATAGCTGTGAGGGATGTGATAAATATATATATAATGGGATCCAAGAAGACCAAAAGAGTTTTCGAGTTATAACACAGCCGGTTTTCAAAGTGGCCTAAAATGTTGTCAATCAAACTAAGATGTAATGGAGAAACGCAGAGCAGCAAAAAGCGCTGTTGTATTTACAACCTATCAATGTGCAACAACCTGTTGTGGGCAAATTTTCTGTGTTATAGAAGTTAACGTCAGCTGAGAAGTTTGACACTGTAAGCACACATGCTGTTACAGGAGGAGTCCCCTGGCTGACCATTGATCCATCATGTGCTCCTGCTGCAGACAACACAGAAGCTGCTTGTTATATCCGGATGTCTGACTCTGAGTCCTTTTCAGCTCACCAGCTCGTCACAGTTTGTTAACAGGACTATGGTCAGTAACAATATTTAGAAAAAGAATATTTAATCTTTCTGATGCATTGTCGTTGTAAATACACTGGCTGTACTTGCACTGATGCACTTGGCTTTTGTCTCTATAAGACTTGACAGTCTTACTAGAGGTATTCTCCTTATACCTCCCTCTTTATCATCCTCTGAGTTTGTGTTTAGATTCTTGGCAGAAACCAGTCTGTAAACTTCCCTTTCTCTAGGTTTTTTCCATGCACCGGTAAAAAAAAAATACTATAATTAAACCACTGAAGGAAATAAACTCACCTCAGATGCATCTGTTATCAACAGCTCCAGGCCCTGTTGCTAATCTGTCTTTCCCAAGCAAGAACCCTGAAAACCCATAGGCCAACAGTTAAGTAAGTACCCCCTCTCGCACCATCTGTCTGACATTTTCCTGTCTGATTGTTATGTCTGATGTTTTGGTCATAAATGATCTGCCAATAAATACAGATTTTGACAAGCTCCTATTCCAAGCACCTCTCCTTTCCATGATTGCATTTGGTGCTGCTGATTGTTAGATATAGTATCCCTGGTGCTTTAGATACGTGGGCTGAGTGAGTTGCAGTAACTGAGCTGATAATATAAAACTCTTTTACCTTCTTCTGTCGAGTTATGTCACATAAAATGACTCCTTCGCACATTGAAGCAGTAAATGTAGATAAATGTCTTAAAACTTAATTAAGCGAAAACAGATTCCCCCAAGTGAAATGACATTGAAAGTCAACTTGATGGGCTTTTCCTTTCCTCCTGCTGCTATTTGCAGGCTTACTCCGAAATAAACATGCTTGATACAACTCTGTGGCCACCACAGCGATAAGAGGGATGGAGGTTTATGGAAACCCCTGTGTTTCGAGGAGAGGTACTCTTTTGGGAGAAAGGATCTCTGCAGAGTGAAGCAGGGAGGGTGAGGATTATCAACATCACAGTTCTGCTCTCTGGCTTGAAGGGCAGCACAGTCTATCTGATCTCAGCCGGAGCCCAAAACAGAGCTGGATCAGATTCCTGCAGTCTTGCTTTTGACATTACCTCCAAGAAACCACATGTGCCCACACACAGACACAAATATATTAATAGTATACAAAAACACAATGCAGTCTGTGACACTTGAAGGGATATTCCGGCGCAAAATCAAGTCAGGGTCACCGAACTAGACACCCTTTTGAGTGATGAATGTTGCCGCCTGCATGCTTCTCTAGTTATACCAACTTTAGTAACGACCGCACGATAGCAATACACAGCAGTCTACGTCTCCATGTGCAAACCTCAAACAAAAAGCCACTCCATAGCCACAAATAATGCTCAGAACAGCACCTAACTTCATCAACAGTACATATAGGGTCCCAGCCATCAAACATCCATCAAACATCTTTGTAGCTTTGCCTGATTTCTTTAGCAAAGAGACTAAATACAACTCACCTACTCTCCTCCAGCAGCCGCTTGTTTGTGGGGGTAGCCCTGACGAGTCAATCACGGAGTGCAGTGGATCATTTCCATTGAGTAATAATCATCATAATAATCATTTTGCACTGCAGATGCGGTAGTTTTTCTGCCTGAGCATCTCGGTCTGATTGCATTACAATGAAGTAATAATCATAAATGTTCTTCCTTGAGCTGCGAAACTCCGCTGCACCCAGTGATCGTCTCATCAGGGCTCCCCCACAAACAAGCATGCGGTTGTTGGTATAACTAGAGAAGCAAGCAGACGGCAACATTCATCTCTCAGGGGGATGTCTAACTCGGTGTTACAGTGTGTTTGACCATAACTTAAATTTACACCGGAATAATCCTTTAATACATATGAAAACAGACTGGAGGGACACAAACTTACTTTAAAAACTTGAAAATGTTAAAATACAAAAATAAATATAATGGGGGATCCAGTTTACTTATCGTACACATTTCAACAGTAACAATAAGGAAATTTGAAATTTTGAGCAAAATATGAAACAGCTGTATTTTTCTACTCACACAAGAAGGACTGAGTTTGTGCTGTTCCCCCGGCATTAGAGACAGGCGCATAATCCTTTCTTTTCGATGCAAAAGTGTGCTTTGTGAGATCAGCAACATGATCTAAACCCAATGGTGTAACTCTAAGCAGTGCAGCAGGTGCAGTGCATCAGGGCCCAAGCCTTTGAGATAGCCCATGATGAGATCTCTGACACCTGCCCTCATTCTTGGCAAGGTTGGGTAGGAGGCTGTATATCCATCGTCACACAGATCTGTGCAAGGCAGGTGAGTTATAGAGGGCCTCCATGAAAGTCTGGAGGATGTTTTTATACCACTCTCCCACCAGCATGGTGCTGAATCAATCTTCAGAGATGTTTCATTTGTGAGTATTTTCAGTGTTATCAAACTACAATCTTCTTCCAGAATCAGTTATACCAATCTTGCTTCATTTGCTTGTTTTAACCACAAAACATAAAATTATAAATGAAAAGCCTGCTGTGAAGTGCTTTATAACTTCCTGTCATGTAAAAACTTGTGTTAACTCGAGTTTTCTGCTACACTCATATTGAGAGACATTAAAATGGACAACCGGATTTCTGCATGTTTTTGTTTTTTTGTTTTTTTGCAAGTTGAAACAGAAGCGGCGCCCAGAAGTGTGTGTGGGGGAGACAACAACAGGATGAGCATCCAGCTTAAACAGCTTCAGTCCTATTTAAAACCAGCATGGGGCAGGTCTGGCAGCAGGGGAAGAAACTTGGACTTAAACAGTATTATCACAGATTTTGCTGAACACAAGGCCAGCAGGGGGAACTTCTGACAGTGTGGACCCACCTCAGGGCAGCTGCTAATGCTCAGAGATGCCTATTCACTCTGGCCAAATAACTTGCTGTCTTTTATTTAAAGTCTTTTTAATAAAACCAACACTTTATAAAGCTTATTTACTATACTACATCAATGTTTGCTTTGAAGGCATGGTATTGACATAATGAGAGATGATAAAAAGCACATCTGGGATGCCAGGAGACCCAAAATGCTCTGCGCAGCAGGGTGACTGTTTGTAATATGAATTTTTCAGACTCATAAAGCTGTCTCTCTCCAGTGTGTCTGGACCCTCACTGCTGAACACAGACTTGTCTTTGTGATACAGTTGAATTGGATTTAAACTTCTAGCAACTTCATTTCTCAGTCTAATACATTTGTAAAAGAGCACCAACTGTGTGTATGATAAAATTTGGCATGCTGTCAATGATTATAGTCCTGGGGTCTGCATGTAACTGTATCAGGAGCTGTCAACTAAAATGTGTGTGCATATAAAAGTTGTTTCAGATGTTTGGGGAGTTAAAAGGAATAAGGCAACAGGGATTTGATGCAGGCAGTTCGATTGTTTGTATCATTGTTAAAAAATAGTTTTAACTTACTGTTCGTAAATAGTAATAAAAATTACCAGTTTCTTTTTCAATCCTATTGTCAACCTTTCCCAGATAGCACACGTACATTGTGCCGATGTCAACCCAATACATGTAGTTTCATCACCAAGATGTCGCAAGGAGAGTGTTTGCTAATCGCCACAATGTCGCTAAGACATCAGCCTTTGATCTAAAATGATCGACACACGATGTTTGGACGATTAATCAAAGATGTAGCGCACGACCTTTAATTTAGCAGAGCACAGACGGGAGAAACAAACACCTGCAAAATGTAAATCAGTTCAATCAGTTAGTCAAACAACGCAATGACCAAATAAGTAATGGGCACTTGGCCACCAACAGTTCCTTGCAACACCAAAACCCACGTCTGGGTAAAAAGGTGTAAGTCCAGAGGATTGGAGGAAAAGGGAAAATCTTGGGTGGAGTGTGTGTGTGCGTGTGTGTGTCCGGATTGATGGGCTGTACAGTGGGATGAGCGTGTTGTGGCTACAAGGAGCCCCTACCAGCCTGGCAGGAGAGATGTGGGCTTCCTGGGTCTATAGGTCACTTCCTCTTAGCTCGCCATCTAAAATCAAAGAACCTGGCCTGTAAAGCCAGAATTCAAGTAAATCACAATGTCACAATTAATATACAGTGCTCGAATTTCAGCGTATACACATGTCTTTTCAATCAAAGTACTGCAGTTCAATTCAATCTCAAACATAATCATCATAATCCACAATAAGTACATAGCACTTGCCATTAGTCCAAATAAATGAAATTTACAGCATTTATATTAAATACTCATTTCATTCAATACATTCGATTCAGGAATCAATGTTACATATTAGCAATCACTGTTACATTTTAGAGTTAAGCACCTCCATTCATCTGAATGGAGGTGGCTAAGCTATCAAGACAAATGATTCTGCTCACCAGTTCACAGTTAAATCTTCACATATACAGCCCTCCTCAAATCACAACAGACGAGTAGCGGGCTCCTATGAGTTCAATAAAGTTTGTAACATAAGATTTGTCCGTTTGTATTAGTAAAGAACCAGCAAAAATGGACAAAAACCGACCAGTTGCTCATCTGTTTCCTGCTTCCTCTCACACTGAATTACCGCGGTATGATAAACAAACGTGATTGGCGCCGCTGCGTCACATGCCGGCATGACGTCATCGCGTACTTCGTTCTGATTGGCCGAGAACTCGCGCGTACTGAATATGATAAACAATGAGAAGTAGGAGCTGAATTATCACCTGGGTTACAATGGTGTTATTGTGTTTGAGTAAGTCTTGACTGGGAGACTTTCAGGCTAAAGATACTAACTTGGCAGACTCTCTCTGTAAACTGCTTGAGCCACATTGTAGTGGGTCTAGGAGATGGGCTGGCGTCTTTTAACTTCTCTCTATAACTTCTATCCAAAGCAAACCAGACAGCAGAGACCAGAAATATGATGTGGTAAAGATGTTTCTGCTCTTTCACTGTGAACTTCTCACCTCGAATGATTTGTTTTCACACATGTGAATGAAAGGTGTGGCTTATGTCTCTTGACCTCCATTTATTTCTGGTGTTCATCAGAGGTTGTAGAGTGTATTTCATCAAATCCAGTCTGCTGCACTATCAATGCTGAATTCAAAGCTTGTTCAGAGAACACTTTAATAACACTGCTTTATTTGTTCATTTGTAAACCTACTGCCTGCACAGTATAATTACCTTTATTCAGCTCCAAGTCATCCTCCAGAGGGTATTGGATGAAGACTGAACCCACTGTAAGGTCCTCAGAGACATGTTTAGATAGAAAATGAGTCTTTGGTGACAAGCACAAGGCGCAAGGTGAGTTTGTCAGACTAATAGCTTGAAACTTCATAATGAGGAAACAAATAAAACTTCAACAACTGTCATGCCAGTAAATGGCTTTCACATCACAGTGGAAAAATCCTTGGGCACTTCACATGATTTATTGGCGCTGTCTGGCCTTTCAAAATTAAAAGATCTGTTCCAGGTGATAAAATAAAAGGCATCATGACACAAAAGAAATTCAGTTCTCTTCATCCAGTTCAACAATAGTTCACCTTTTCAGATCCTTGCATGCATGTAAGGCAGAAGCATAAAATTCATGACCCTGTAGCTGAGTATACTCTTCTTAATACTGTTAAAAAATAAATAAAACAATTATGGTAAATTCAGCACAGTCATTGTTTCACATGAAACATGCATTTGAGTCCAATCTACCCACACACAACCCCTGTAATAAACACAGCAACCCACACACAAAGGCAGATAAGGGTGCACTTGGCATTTATAAGTTTGACAACCTTTGAAGTCTGATGGCCACCATAACAGAGAGCAGTGATGGCCGCAAACTTAAAAAAACTCAGACCACACAGGAGCCTGGGCACAAGACTAAAATAACAACATCTGCACAAAGTGTTTTCTTACCTTCCTCTTGGTTTAACATGTGTCACAATCCATGAGTGGTGAGGTCTAGCTCTACAGCAGAGTCACTTTACATGAACAACAGTGTTAAATGGCAGAGTTTTCCCATCACAGAGAGCAGTCTGCTTTTTACAAGGCCAAGTCTTAAGAAAAAACTCTCTTCTCAGTCCACTAAATCCTCTTCACAAATTTATGCTCCGCTGAGAATCTCAGGAGGAGGCGTAAAAGGCAGGAGCACACAAGAACAAGCTTCTTCAAAGATCCCTTCAAGTTTGTCAAGAGCCTTTTAAAAAGGACAAAAGTGGCAAACTGAAAATAATCAAAGGACAATCTTGAGGCCCTCCCCTGTAACCCTGCATTCACACCGAGCACAAATAAAATCATCTACCCGCTTCACTCGCGCGTAACTAGACCCTTAAATGAAAAGTATTAACTTCCTTCATTCGCACAAATGATTCACTCTATTTGCGAGAATCATTAAGTCCATTTGCTGTATTCGCACTTCAACAGAGTCCTTAAAAGCCGTGGATAAGAGAGAGGGGGAGAGTTCATCAACCATGGTAGGAGTGAACCACGTTCCGCAAATTGCTGCTTTGTATCTGTTGTGGAAGGCCCACAGCCGTCGGAGATGTAGGCGCCATCATGTCTCTGATGGTTCATAATATTCTCCAGAGGCACATGCAGTTTGGGGAATTTTACTATCTCCTCCAAGAGCTGCTGCTAAATGATGGCCATTTCCAGCAGTATTTGGGGGTTATTAGAACCCAATTTGATGACCTGTTGGTGAGGGTCGGTGCCAAGATACCTATTACAGGCGCTCTTTTCCAGTTGCAGAGTGACTGTCTATCTGCCTACTGTGAGTAAGTACGTTGCCACGCTCAGTGACACGCCACAAGTGGACCAGCTTTGGCAGGACATCGTAAGTGGCCTTGAGACAATCCACAAGACCATGATCCCAGGCAGGCTGAAGCTCTGGTGCCTTTAGTTTGGGCTCATAAGATCTCTTACTTAGGGTGACCATATTCTGACTTCCCAAAAAGTGGACACGTTTACAAGGGGGGGGGAAGAGTCATAGAGTTGCACAAAGTTAATTTTGAGAGTTTTCCGGCTCGGAAGTGACTTCTAACTCAGTAAGTCCACGTGACACAAATCCAAACTTACGTACAAAAACCACAGACATTTGAAGGGTTTTATATACTTTCCCGGACAAAGCAAGACAAACCCTGACAGCCTGGACAGACCCCCAAAAAAAGGACATGTCCAGGTAAAAGAGGACATATAGTCACCCTATCTTACTATTTATGACATCCTGTTCTTGGGGTTCCCTAGATGCTCTAACAACATTGGGCTGTATGGCAGAGGCATTCTATGGTTTCCTGTTTCCAGCCCTGGAAAAAAGTCCAATTGTTTGAAAGTCAGGTTGGAGATGACCCTGACAGAATACCAGGAAGAGGTGAGATAAATCCTGGCCCCCAAAGTGACTCAATAAGAATGATCCCAAAGCCAAATCTGTACTGGCAGCCTGGAGCATGTCAATGAACCAGTCAGAGGCGTTGTGGACTAATCATCAAAACACTGTAGAAAGGGGGCATCCACCTGATGACCTCAATGAAGCTTTAAACCCTGCTTCCAACCCACCCACCGTACAGCACCACAGCTATGGTGCCACTTGATAATTAGTATAATAATAACTGATATAACTAGCTTAGCTATGATATTCCTTAACATGGTCAATATGATAACTGAAGTTGCTGTTAGGAGTTAGAAATATCCCTCTCTCTACACAGCCTGTGGATGCAGCATGTGTGTCTCCATAGCTCTCTCACCTGCTGGCAGCTCATTCTGAGCTAGTGTGACCGTCATTGTTGGGGCGGTGGCGCTCAGTTACCAAGGTTCACGGTAATGTCTTTGGTATGGTAGCATTAAAAGATCCAGTCAGCAAGGTAATTTGTCAGAGAAGCTGTAGTTGCGGCTGTAAATTCTCCTCTTGTCCATTTTAGGACCCTCAGCATTTTTACCCCGACATTTTTATTCTTTCACAAATTCCAGTTGTCAGGTAACAATTGTCTGCAAAGTCGAAGAAACTAATTCGTTGGACAATAGGGTCACAGAAATGTAACAGTGATCAGTCACGACTCCGATCTATTCAAGATATGTCCGGCCCATTTTCCAGCACCCAATACACACTCACATAAAAACATGGTATGAAGTTCCATCAATTCAAGAACTTACCGAAAAGGAAGTAGATAAGCTTTGGCAGCCATTGCTTTAAAAATAATGCAGTGTAAAGGTACAGATGGAACAGGGGAAAAGTGTGTCCAAATAATTAACTTAAAAAGTGTGTGGGACTTGTCCCACCTGTATCCAATGATTCTGACACCCATGCTCATAACCATGCGTGAAATATTAAGGTCAATGTTTAAACAGTGCTTTTTTTTTGTTTGTTATGACCACTCAAAGTGATTTTACATTACATGTCACATTCACCTATTCACACCACATTAAACCACAGATGGCAGAGGCTGACATGTAAAGCACCATTTGTTTTTATATTTTTTCAATTCATCGAGTTAACAGCGGGAACTGGGATCGAACCATCGTCTTCTGATTGGAGGATGACCACCACTGAGCCACAGCTGCCCCCGAATACTGTTGTTAAGGCTGCAGCAAACTGTTAAGGCTTAGTCATACAAACTGTCATCAAATTAAGATGAAAAATCTTGTCCCACAATGTGTCCAACAAAAAAATTAAATAAATAAATAAAGGTATTAGTATCAAAAAAGTATTACAGGCTGAGTTTCAATGCATGACTCTCTCCTGAAACTAATTATTGAATGTCTTTAACCTGTTTGCTGGCCAAAAGAGCTCATCCAAAATATTCCAGAGACTCTACTCTTAAAACTTCTGCGCTACAAAACTATTTTTATGTGCTTGTTCATTTACCCCTATAAGTTTTGTTGTTGTTGCTGTTGTTGTGGAGCAATAAGCAGTTGCTAAATGTGAGCATAAGATAATTCCGAAATTATTTCTTATAATTTTGAATGTTCTCGACTTGTCTAATAATAATAATGATAATAATTATTATCATGTTGGAAGGAAACTTTAGCTGTTTCATCTTAAACCTCAATTTCCCCTCTCATTTCCAGCAAGATGCCAACTCTTTTTTGAGGGATCTGTACCAACAAAGCTGGCAGAGCAGCACCCCAGTTTTGGAAACCCCTGGTATGAGGTAGCTGTAGCTCCCTTTTTGAGATCAAAGCTGTGACCTAGGGGGGCCATGGCACCAACAGCGACCCCCTCCGCATACCAAAAATGTCCAGTGAGTTGCAAATACTCTGCAGCATGCAGATGAGTGAAATGAGAATAACACTGAGAGGCAGTAGGTTGTGTGCGGTCTGTGTAACTCATTCCTCATGTGACTGATACTACTTATCAGCTTCACCACAGCCTGAACAAGCAGAAGAGAAAATAGAAATAGAGATAAAATAGATATTTGCTATTGATACCTCACTTTGATGAAGCTCTCTTTAGACAAATCAATATGATTTTTCTAGTTTTTTTTTCTTTTCCTCGTAGGCCGTAGGGATCTCTTTAATACTCTCTATATCAGATTTGTGGTACACAGTCTACTGGACTTGTGAACCGCTAGTGTGCAAACAAAATCTTCTTG